TGGGGGTTCATGGGATTTTCAGCAGGACGGTATAAATATTCTCACTAAAGAGCTAAGCGAGTGCGTAAACCAGTGTAAGGTACCATACGGGGTGCATTTTAGTTACTAGTGTTCCATTAGTGCGGGTAGGGGCATTGCTTGCTTGTCATATGGCATTTGAATTAGAAGCTATAAGATAAGACGCAGGTGCGGTTAGGATGTGTAACGCGTGTCCATCCATCAGCTGGCGTGACAACCCATGGTGGTTGGTATAAGTTATGAGAGGACCCGAATATGTAAGTCTCGCAAGGAAATGACGAGGATATGCACCAACTCACCTTATGAAGAGCGCCTTCAATCACTTAACCTCTACTCATTACAGTATAGACGTCTTAGAGGCTTACAATAACCTTAACACTCCTGGACATCCCCTAACACACCTAATTAAGCTTAGTTCCAACACTAACCTAAGGGGTAACACCCAGAAACTAGAGACACAACATAGCAGAACGGACTCCTTAAGAGTTGTCAAATGCTGGAATTTTCTGCCGGCCGAGCTAGTCCAAGCGACTTCGCAGGAGTCCTTTAAGAGGCAACTGGGTTTATTCTTAAGGACTAAGTATAGTATCATACTATGATTTACCAATTTCTTTTTCCTCTTTTATTGTTAACATACCTAGTTTTCTGCCTTGAGGTATTGGTGATTCCCTGCTACTAAACACGGAAGCCTGTTAAGCGAAAGCTTCTCCTATTCAGTCCACAACCATTTGAACACATGAACTAGGTGCTGAGAGGCTCGCTTATCACAAGTTTCTTGCAACGATTAAGTAGATAAAACAAAGTAGCATTAGATTCAAAAATTTGTTCAAGAACTTTCATTAAGAATCGAATATCAAACAAAGGTTTAAACCAAGTTCCCGTTTAAAAGTTGTATTGGTAATGTTAAGCTGCAGTTCTTGTTGTTTTTTTCCAAACGAAAGAGTAAAAGAAGTCAAAAAGTACTGGAACTGGTTGTGAGACTAAAATGGAAGTCCAGCATCCTTTTTATAATCTGCTGTTCGTTGGATCTCCCGTAAACAGTTCCATAGGACCATAGTTCCAAGGCCGAAACAGTTTTTAGGGTCTGTGAAGGCTCACTCCTGTTGCATTCTAAATGAAAAAATGGTGATGAATTTAGTCAGAAATGTGGAATAGATAAATAACCAAATCACATGTTTTTTAGCAAAGAATTTATGCAGTTGTGATTTACCTTGAGTTCATGAATATTAGATAAGGTCAGCTACTATTACTTGCGCAAAGCATAACATGGGCTTAGTACCGTATTGCAATGCTGTTATTATTTTGCTCCCATTTAAGTATTCCCATGCATCTACGTCCAGTTTAACAGGAAAACATACAAGCAGAGTAAGTGTCTGATAAACTAAAAGTCCCAGTTGCCAAAAAGATTCTTAACACTTGTCCACAGCCAGCTGCATTTAATTGAGACACAGAACACTCATCTTCTAAGACTGTATACCGCTGTTTTGCGGGCAACTAAAAGCTCAGACACTTAGCTATCTTGCTGCCGATGTTATTGCTGAGGAAATTGTTTAATGACAGTGATCATGAAATATGGTCAGTGATAGATGTACAGTTTAGAAATAAACACCAAACATACTTATCGCTATCTTATAATGTATGACAGCAACAGCATCAAAGGCACGTTTTTTCCTATTTTTAATCAGACTGATCTGAATCCATACACACATTAGAAACAGGCAACTCTACTTACTGAACTGATCTGTTTCGTTACAGGCTTCAAGCACTATACTTAAGTATATCATAATTCTTTCAACTAACCCAAGCAACACAAAAAGGGGAAATAAAGGGGTAAATGCTATGGTAGCGAAAGGGGAAATATAGGGGGAAACACGCCAGAATGTCGCCTTTTTCGCCTGTCCGGGGGAAATAATGCGGATTTTCCCCTTTTTGTCGACAAATTACCGACTTATCGCTGAAATATCCGCTGAATTATCGCATTTTCGCCTAAATATCCGCCGAATTGCATACTTATGCGCTTAATTGTCTACTTTTCGCCCAAATACACAGATTACCTACTATTTTCTATCCATCGACAGAACCCCAAAGGTCTCCTATGTTCGCCTTTATTTTCAACAACAGACCAAAATATATCTGCAATGCAGTGGAAAAGCGGTAAATATTTCAAAGATTTTATTGAAAAAGAAAAGCGTATTATTGTACAACAGTAGAGCACAAGCTGAAGCATCGATTGTTATGCATATCCAATGCAATTGCTAATACATTGTTATTTGAAATTATCTGAAAAAGAACGAACAGGTTATAATGTATTCATAAGAAATGTGCATTTAATCAATAGTTCACTGAAACTCAAACACACATTCTCAACACTTCAACAGTTTCCCATGTAGGTAAAAGAGTAAGCTGTTTGAAAGAATAATGTTTATTGAGATCGAGGTACAACATCAAAGCAATTGCACGGACTAATCAGAATTGGGGTAGTCGTCCTGTGAATTCTGAATTTAAAAAAAACAAAAAAACAAAGTCACAACCATATCTCAATGACATGCTTTTGCACAACCAAATACTTGAAGCTGAACTTACGGTTATGTTCGTCAGTATTGTTGACTGTAACTATAGAGCCGTAGGGAGGTTGTCACTTTAAATTAGTACCTACCTGATTTTCTTTTCTTCTATTTCGTTTTATCATCTTGTCTCGAAGGTCGTGAAAGTAACCTTGTGTCGCTATGTCGTATAGCCTACCAAGGTCTTTCTCATTTACAGAGGATGACAAAAAACGATGAGTTAAGGCACCTGAAGTTTAAGTAATATATATAGGTTACTTCGTATGCAGTTGTAAAACGTGCATTTATGTAGTGCTCATTTAGAAGAGGTGCCAAGTAACGTGAATTTACTGGCAACCTCCGGTGTCAGCAGATGCGACAGAATAAAACGCATGGACGTTTTTGGATCGTCACCTGATAACCTAGTGACCATTGCCATCTGTAATAGTAACAAGTTATTAAATTCATGTAAATGACTTACAAATCTGTCCCTGGTTTCTTTCTGCGACAAACCAGTATCTAGCATCTGTAGTTCCTCTTCAGATGACAAAGGGAACTGCTGACTTGACAGTCCGCAATCGAATTCATGCGGTCTTTCGCGCTCATTAGACTTTGAAAGCAATTGGTTAACATTAACATTCAAGTTCGTAATGGCGGACGACATGTTGTTAATCGTTTTAGTCAAGTCATTGATAGCTGACTAAATCTTCAGCACCACAGTATACAACCTATCACAGGTGAAAAAGGTCACTAGATGATGCAGTTTACTTACTGGTCCAATACAGTGCCACCAACATGCTTACATTCCGATGTGGATGGTGATGTCTCTAATTGTGTTGAACTAAATAGTGAATATCTAAATAGTAATTAAACGTACTTGGCGATTGGAGATATCACTTTGTCGAAAACACGCAATTTGGGATATTGTACGCGGATATTCCCAGCCTGCATTTCAGCCACATCCATGTCTACTGAATTGTAAAGAAAATCTTCTTTACGTTTCATTACACCTCTAGGAAATGTTAGTAAGATTATTGTACAAACCTCTTGGGCTTCTCAGTGTTATGTGGCAGAGTGTTTTCATCCGTCGAAGTGTTTTCAAGGTGAGATTGTAGTATTTGCAGGGAAGCTAACAGATCTTTTGCAGACTGCAGAGATTCTATAGTGAATTATAGTTTCCATGACTGTAGCTTACCTAATTCATGAATAACTTTACACTTCATAAGTGACCAATTGTCATCAGGTTGGTCGCACTTCTGAAGGTGTATATCGACCATCTCATTCGGAAAAGCGCAAATGTCATTGCCAACTATCCAGTCCTTTGATGCTATCATAAGTTGTTTTTTAGGGCGTCAACAATAAGGTATTTTTTGTTAGTGTGCTGAAAAGAACATAAGACGTAAGTAAATGGTTTATCATCAAGAATCACCGGGCCTAAACGAAGAGATAACCTACATTCAGAAGCTTTCCATGCCGATACAAAGTCTAGTGTACGGCATTTACGGGGAAAGTCAGAAGGAGTACTTGACACACAACCCGTTATTAAATTATTTATGTCCCTAATTGCACATGAGTTAAAGTCGCGCAGTCTTCGGCGTGCTAAATCTATCCATAAATTAGCTAGTTTTTTGGTAACACCGAGGTACACCATGTGCATAGGATCTAGAGGAAAAGTTAAAATCATATCAATCGAAAGTGTTTCCATAATAGAATGTCCTTGACGGTGAATTGATTGAGACTGACGACGGAAGGTGTCGTCTGTTCTTAAGGTATGTACTCCATTTGGAAAGGTCGTCTTACCCTCCAGCCGTCTCCCAAGAACAGTACACCTATCGTAACCTGCCTTACCGTTGTGATTTACCGTGTACCTAACAGAAGAACGAGCAGGTGCGTCACATATAACAGCCGCAAACCTAATAGCTATACATTTATTAAACTTTACACTAAAAAGACCCTCGTCAGTCATTTCTTTTATTTCAGAAATTGTGTCCGCAGAAAAATCGTTGAATTCTGCGGGCTTACTATTCCCTCCGTAGATCCCTATCATGAACGTCACTAAACCTGGGGGCAACGATCCGTCCTAGTATAGGCCATAACTGTTGATTGGAGCTTCTAGACATAGAAAGTCCATCCACACTGATATATAATTTTAAAAAGTCAAAATCACTAGTACACAACCAAAGTTCAACGTATCTTAGCAGATTGGTTTTCAATCCTAGATGGTAGTAAACCCCACTGCCGATAAACTTTGGTTGAACACTTGGACACGTCTTTAGGACACCTCTGATGCTTTTCGGTATGTCAGGGATAAAAAATCGTAGACCATACAGAACCCGATCAGCATCCCTTATGCTCAGAGATGTATTTGACATTAGATACATCATCAAGTCTTTCATCATTTCTTTGCGATTCACGAACTTCGGAGAGCACAGGTTCACTTCAGGAGATCCTATAAGATATATATTCACGTATGAATTTAGTATACATACCACTATTATCTGGAAGTCCTTGATTGATGTTGCTAGTCGATGGTGTAATAGTTGAAGTACTGTCATTACAAGTGATTTCTCTCTTTACTTCTATCAATTTAATAAACAACATTGTTGAACGCAGTTACCTTTTAGGGTGCTTTCATTAGCAAACTCACTGAACGAAAGAAAGTCATATTTTTTCATGAAAGCAGCTCTCATTTTATTCCACCTTCTGTTATAAGTGGATGTATGACAGCCAAGGGAACGTGACAAGTTCACAGTGGCCCTACGTCTACGAACATTCTCACTGACTTCAACAGAACTCTTAGTATTGGCCTAACAATGTAATTAGTTACAACGAACATGAAAATGTGAGAGCACGTCACTCACCTGCATCACGTAAGCTTTTTGTGATGGCTCCCAAGCATGTCGGAACACTTTAGCTAAACAACAAACGAAGTCAGTCTATATGCGTATGAACCGAATGCCTGGTTCCGTATTTTGTACCTTGTTTTTATGACAATAGTTTTGTTTTTTTATTAAGCGGTGCCTTAATTCGTCGAAGTTTATGAAAAATTAAGCTCCAGAAGCGGTTCATTCAAATACTGTACGTTACATAGAATTGTCGACAAATTTCCCCCAAATACACGACGTAAGGGGGAAAAGCGACATTTCCCCTAAATAACCGACGTAAAGGCGAAAAAGCGACATTTCCCCTTTATTTCCCCTTTTTGTGTTGCTTGGGGAACTGAATTATACGACAACCAAGAACACTAAACTAAGCAAGTGTCATAGTTATTGTTTCACTTGCAAAGACATGTTGCTCAAAGTAGTTAAATGGACATAATTAAGCCGATAAAACCAAAACACGAAATATAGGCCAGTTGAACTTACCTAAGAAAAAATGAAGGATACATATATACTGCTTTCATACTGAAGACAACAGGCAGTTGTTCATAGAAACATAGTTTACAGTACAACAAACCTTTCTTCAGTAAAATCATGCACTGACAGTCTATCTGGAAACAATCAACTATGTGAATAAACTCACTATGACTTGAGATATCATCTCAGCATGCAATGGACGTACAGTGTAACGCAGTCGGACGTGGCGAATAAAAATTAAAAACAGAAAAATTAACTACATAATCTAGTTATTTAATTAAAAATACATTATGAAATGACAAAATCTGTGGTAACTTGAACGCACAAATGACAGTGTGCGATACATTAAGTTTACATGGTTGCGTTGCGGATAAGATCACCCGTTGTACTGACAGGAATTCGAACAGTATTATCTGATGAGTTATCAGCACAACTACTTAGGATCAGATCTAAATCAACATCTTTAGGTGGATGGACACCATCTAATTTAGAGTTACTTTTTTCTGAGCTCTGAACCTCAAGAGATTAAGGAGAGTTTATCGGCGGCGGCCTATTTGTAAAGTCAGAGGTCCTCTTAGAATCGGACCTAATTTTATGACCTTTAGGATTATGATGCGTTTGGGAGTCTGACGCTTGCGGTCTGTAACTAGCTCTTCTTGTTTTTCGCTGACATGGTGTTCTATGTGGAAGAATCTTAACATACTTAAAAGTCCGTTTCTATCTGACCGTATTAGAAAACGCTAGAAACTCGCTAGGGGCTACAGATGAGTTGAATTTGAGCAGACTCGGTGGGTGCATACCAGAGTGAATTCTTTTTAATCTTGTGCACACAAATAATACATGTGTCATATCACTGGCTGTAAGCAGATTAGACCTGGTATTTTTAAGGGCATATGTGACCGGTATATTAAACATGATTCCATTGCTAGGTCGTCTTATTCTTTCAGACACCTTTTAAGCAACACAAACTGACTTTCGACATTAAAACAATGACAACTATATATATTTAACATTTCTAATACACTGATCGTTTTGCTACGTGATCTATGCATAAAATATTTGTACTACTGGTACGTCAAGCCAAACCATCGGTTACTGGCTGTATTTAATGTGATTTACTGAATATCTTCATACTAAGTCATTCTACATCATTGAAATCCCGATTGTTTCAACTCCCAGATAGTCTGTATGTAAGTCTATGTTACATGTGCCAAGAACGTGACCAAACATCTTGAGATTATAACAAGTTATTCCAGTACAGTTGCTATCTTATCCTTTTTCATTTACCTTTTAGTTCATCAATACTGGGACGATTCTTAATAATCTCCAGCATATGATGACCTCAGTATGCCTGGTATCAAATTAATACCACGTTGATCTTGTTGAGAGTGAGATGTAGTGACATTAGTTTCTAATCACACAATCCTTGAAGTCTAACATATAATAACTGTTGAGACTTACATTACCTGCTGAACACATGGAACGGGCAAGTAAAAGCAAACGCGGAAAGACTTTATCTAGGCGACGTGACTTGGACGTCGAGGATTGACCGTTGTTCTCTTGGTACCCTGAATGTATCATGTTGTAGTTCTAGAAAAAGACATTCCTTGCCCAAGTGCCAGCACGCACGGATGAATTTGGCTCTCGTCCTCGAGAGGAAAAGTGTAACCATATGCAACAAATGCATAACCTCGGTTTCATAAACAATAGAAATGGATGACGACCATATCCAGAGAATACTGGAGCTCTAAAAACCACGTCTGGGGCAATGGATATTCCCACTCAGAGATCCTTCTACTGGATGGTTAGCCACTAAAAACTTCTCTTCCTTATCTCTACTGTTAAAGAAGATAAAGTGGAATCAGTCCTCAGACTCTTAAGCAGCTGTGGTATTTGCACAAACTAAAGAGTCTTTTGTACTAGATGCCCACTGATTACTGCCCTAATAATAGACCTAACCCTAAAATTATAGATTTGTCATGATGTAACTGCCTTATCTATAGGATCTTACGTGGAAGTTACATCATCGTCTATTCTAACTCGTATCATAATGATCAGCGATATAACGTATGTTGTTTGTAAAGAACATATTTAGGCTGGAGGAAGACTAATACATTTAGTGTGAGTAAATACAAGTTATACAGAGTGACCACGTCTGAGAGGCAGAGCCATGGCATCCTGTTTATTTCCATTAATTCCTTCCTCCTTCTCCATTGTTGACCTCCTCTTCATGCTAATTGTTGATTGGAAAATTTCCAATTATCTCATATTCAGCTTTGAAGATTGTGTGATTAGGACCAATCGCACGACATGACCGCACTTCCGGGTTACGATTTCTAATCAATATTCTGACTGAATGCTTTAATAGGTTTTCTAAACTTTTCGTGCCTTAAGGTAACCCTCGTGCTATTGATAGAAGAAACCAGACAAGTAGTGAATAGGTCTTTATTTCGATCTTAGCGCAGTCACAGTGGAGCGTGGGATTATCTGTTCAGACAAACAAAGGCTCTCAACATTCAAGATAATAGGGAATATAACGCTTATAAAAAATAAGGAAGTGAATGAATACTTGAACAATACTGTTTTGGCATAAGCTTGGTTGTTTGGGGTCAACTCTTAACCAACCAACCTGAGCTGTTACATTAGCTTCCCCCTAGAATCGACTTCCGTAGGAACGTCGGTTCGATTAACCTATCTATCGAAAACACCTTAGTTCTATTTCTCATCCCAAGGGAAAATTATCAACTCGCTCACTATTTGACTTACAATCGGTGACGACTAACGCTGTCAACGATAGTCCATGGATGTCTCCTCATTTACTAGCTTGTCATCTTATTTTGTAGCATGTGATCTATTCTACAACTATCGCTGACGGTTTACTGCGTGCTTTCAAGAGAAAGAGTGTGAGAATGTGGAATAAGAATATCTGAGGAAGTGCCGCGAGCGGGCTACCCAACACCATGTTGGTGAGGTACGATTTTTCCATGCTCAGACCGGCTATCAGGTGTTTACTCACCTGCCTCTTGAGTCGCCCTCAAGTAAAAAGTAAAGAAGAATCTACTTCAAAGGTAATGGTGAAAACCAATCACACCTGAAGAACTGCTCCACTGCCTGCATAAAAATAATAAGATACAAAACGGAAATACATAAATATAATTTATAATTGTTCGGTTCCACGTAAGTGATTGGCCTCCAGAAAGGATTGGTTTTCTGGAAGAAAATAGACATAGTGTAGCCATCTTGTGTACGAAAAGGTATGAAAACAAAAAAAAACTTTTTTATAATGCATATATGTAAAAGTGTGAACTTGCTAGAAGTTGGACTCATTGTCAAACCCGATCAAATGTATGACCTTGGGCCTATGACGACCGCCTTTTATAACCAGGTACGTAACCAAGGGTGCATAGTTGTACTCCACAAAACGGAAAAGAATATACGGTTAAGGAGGAGAAAAAATTTGTGTAGATTATGAGGATTAAGTACAATTGTGTCGAATACTCTTTTCTGGTTTGATCTAAGTATGTATGATATAGTGAAGCAATATTTCGTCAATTCATACAAGTAACGAATTTGTCTGCACCTTAAAATGTGTAAGTCCTATTACTCATTAGTATTATATATGATTAGTCGGTAAAAGGAAAGATTGCAGTCATTCGCCCGTGGTTTGATGTGGTCTAATGGCTAGGCACACGGTCTAGCATCCAGGAGGGCAGAGGTTCGAGTGCGTGTGGGGCTAGCGTTTTCGTTCACCAAAACCCCCTTCAATACGATGTTTGTTGGCCATATGTTGCTCAGATATGAGAGAACGATAACAGGAGGACGGATTGATATGTCAAAGTGCCATATTGGAATAGTACAAGTTCTTTGTTTTTATTAATAATAATACTATAGAAAAAAAAACTACAAGTGTGGTAGATTTCCATTTTACGTTATAATTAAACCAACGAGAGAAAAAAAGGTATATATATATATAAGTTATTGACATAACATGTTTTTTTATAACGCTAGTGTTAAGTTCCAGGATTTTGTATGGACCACTAATAATAATTGGTTTAACGTTAGCATAGCTGTGATATTCATATTAGTTCAATGTTGTGATTGCTTAACAGTTCCCTTATAAGTTGTGTTTAAAATTAGGTATGTGAAATCAATGCGACTAACATAGTAACCTTACAGTAACGCACTGTACTATATCTTCACGGTTATTGATTCTTAAATGTCAGAAATTAAAAAAAATTTGAATATTGCCAATAAAGATGGGTTATATGATCACACTAAAAAGCATGCTGTAGGAAAACTGGTTAAGTCATTATGTAAGTTTCCTAAACATGAAA